CGCAATCTAGGAAGATTCAAAATGACGACGTATGTAACGCGAAGGAACTCTCAACGTGTAACCTAATCAACTTATTATTGATGCAAAGGTGCTCTCTTTGAAAAAGATATCATTCATTCTTTGACTAGGAGCCGCGAGACCGCATTGCACGCATTGTTTAAACAAGCTTAGTCGTGTACTTGGCAGGTTTACACTTGTTATTCATCTCGTCCAGGTTTATTCACTCACTGGAAACAAAGAAGAACAAACATAAACTTGTTAAGACAATGTCCGCAATGCGGTCTCGCGTTTCCTAGCCATAGAATACATGATATATTCTCACCTGGGTATACGTTTCTACAGGTTGATTAACATGATTACTACGGAATGTCACTTGCATTCCTGGACCATTGCTCTCCGTGCGAGATACCTTCCACCAATTTGTCACAGCCTATATTTTTGCATTTTACGGAATCCTACTTTAAACCATGAAAATTGCCAACCTTTTTGATTGCATCTCTGTAAGTTGATGTAGAGGTACTCGATGGGAAGGTGTCGAAGTTTTTACCATATGTGCTATGAGGTATCTTAGCTGTAGGACACTGCCGTACTTCTCGAATGGCTTCCATTTCCAAATTGCAATTGAGTTTCTGAAGAATATTTGGATGATGAAGTAGAGTACAAGAAGATATGGTCGGGTGAATCATAGCTCAAGAAACAGGCATTACCAATTTTATAATATTTGCGCCATTTGGTAAATAATTTCCGCTTGGTCTTTGGACTTGACCTTTTGCGAGAGTGCTCCTGAAGACATCACTTGTTAATAAAGCTAACATCAAAACTCGACTACGTGATAAACAGATTTCGAAACATAGTAATATCAAACCTTCTGTAGTTGTGCGTGTCAAGGTAGTGCATTCTGAGCTCATCGGTCATTCCGACATTGCCTGTACACTGTGAGCTTGTTCCTATAATAACACTGGTCACGGGACAAAAGATCCAAATTTCCCAGGATTAAAGAGATAAAAATTCTGACTTCTTGATGTAAATGCAATTCAAAAAGGCTAGTAAGTTTAGAAAAGTAAAATTGTGCGAGCGTAAAGTTTTATTTTTTTGGTAAACCAATCTAATTTTGCTAAAAAGGTTGTCTCTCAGAGCTAAGTCTCCAGGCTACAAACTTGTCGAAATTTTTGGGAACTATTTCAAAATTGCAGAGGT